ATGATGGCCAATAGATGCGGGGCCGCATTTCTAAATTCGCTCGGCGATCATATCTCATCGATGGCTAACCGAGATGATATCACGGAGAAGCATCGAGAGGAATACTACGAACGAGAAGAATTTCTTCATAACAATAATAATACCTACGTACAAAAAGACACGTATCGGATTACGGGAAGTGAGCATAAATCGCAGTTTCGAGTGTCCAAATTTGAATTCCATACCGTAGGAATTATTACCAGTGTTACCAACGTAACTGGATTAACAACCTTAAAGCTGTGAATTAACCCTTTCGCTACGAGCGGTGACTATAGTCACCTTGCGCCTGACGCTCGCTATTTTTATTTTTCGCATACTAACGGGGTATTACGAAATTACATTATTAACACGTTCCGTGCCGTGTGTACCACCGGTGGTACACGTTAAACTTCATCTTCAGGCCACGTGTGCCACCATATTTCTAGTAATATTACCACAAGTGGTAGACGATGTGATAGCTACACTCTAGAGAACAAGAGAACTACTTATCGATTGATGATGTAATGAAAGATTACATCCTTTAGTCAAAATATCAAATGGCCTGTACAACAACAACAAAAGGCAAAAATGGCTTGTAACGGAACGTGTTAAATTATATTTTCTAATTGTATTATGTGATAATTTCTTCACCTTTTCCTTTCCTCATGGGCGATATTGCAGAGATCTTTCGCAAGTGCACACACTTTCGCGGCTTGTTCAGCGAAAGGGTTAATTTCAAACGATCGAGTAACTTCTCACATTTGGAAAAAGACAAACGAAGTAGAGTAAACTGCGTGAATGATTCGTGTTAATCGTGTCATGTTAAAAAAAAAAAAAAAAAAGATTAAACGACGCATATTTAAATTAATTTGAAGAAAGTTACTGATACTAACCGACTGCGCCAAGAGGCCTCCCTCTCAGTCTCTCGGCCTCTATGTAATGAGCCTTGAGCCAGAGAGCTTGCAGTTTTTGATGATTGTGCGGACTGAACGTATGACTCTCAAGGATCCTGTACAACTCCTTGAAGTGTCCCCGATGGAAGGCAACGATCGCCTTGGCTTTCAGCACGCTTTCGTGGCGATGCAACCTAGTGCACGCCGGCAGCGACCACAGAAATCTGCCGAGCCTCTCCACGGAGCCTGCCTGCTGGAGAACCTGGACAGACGACACCATCGCCTTGAAGACGATAGACAGGGGGGGCACACTGTTAGTCGGCAGAATTCATCCCGATCTCCTCTTATTCTAGTGTATCTTGTATGTTTTCTCAATTGCAATTGTTTTTCATCTCTCGTAATTATATGCTTTTTCGCGAAAAGGGTATTTTCTTTACTCTCTCTCTCTCTCTTTCTCGCTCTCTCGCTCTCTCTCTCTCTCGCTCTCTCTTCTGTAGAAAATTGCAAATGAGTCCGTTCACACATCGAGAAATATCACACTTCGATAAAAATTCGTTATTAGCAAAGATGGCGGTCCAAGTTTGAATTTCGATTTCCGAGGACAACTCGAAACGAAACGAAACGAAACGAAACGAAACGAATGTGATTCCGATATTGAAAGTTCTCTCGACAGTTGAGAGAAAGTCTTGGGCTGTTAATATTTTCAGAGAATCTTGACAATTCTCGCGGTCATCCGCGAAAAATGTATCTTCCACATTTGTCAATGTCACAGGCGTGACATGAAGAAAAGCTTATCTGAACTTCGACAACTCAAGACCTCTCAAAGGCACGTGAAACATTTGAAAGAAACTTCGAATATCGAGTAATTACATCCGAAGTGCGTGTGATTCAGGGTTTTTCTGTCACCGCGCGTAAATATTCGAAACGACTCGAAAACGTTTGAAATATTTACGCCATCGCTACACTGGTATATGCCCTTCTCACGAGCTAACCTCTCGATACCGAAAGACTCGTAACACGTAAAAAAAAAAAAAAACGATGAGAAAAAGGAGAGAAGAGACGGTTAAATTTTCATTACACGTGAACAAAAAAAAAGAAAAAAAATTTAAACGAGAAAAAAAGAATATTACCCTGTGACGGAATCGATTCTCGATTGCTCATTACAGGCAAATTACCGAAAACGAGCGACCATTATTAAAATGTGACGGTGGTACGAGCCTCGAGTTGCACCTGCCATGGTTACTTCTTCATTCGCGTTGCCGGGTGTGCCACCTAGTTTCCAAGCGCAAACACTTCTGACGAACGATTAATCACGAAATGCGTAAGGAGTAATCCCGCCATATAACGAGAAACGAGCCGCGACGAAAGCCCAAGAGAAATGGCCGACAGAGAGAGGGGAACAGAGAGAGAGAGATCGCGATCGGGTTTTAACGACCGACGTAAGAACAATTTCGATTGGCCGACGACAAATCAAACTGACAAACCAGGGGCGAACTAAACGGTTAAACGATTTCGTTCTGTCTCGTTTCATCGAGCGTTCTACCACGATGCTCGGAGGGGGGGGGAGAGAGGGGAATTATTTGTCTTCGCAGGCACGAGAGAACTCCCGAGCACGCGATACACAGAAAAACGGCAGGCGCAAAGAAACAATCGGCACCACCCGGCCAACCGCTAAATATCGATATATCGTTCCTTCTCGAACGAATCGATTCACGGTTATTTCGAATGATACAAGACAACTAGCGCCCACGTCTCATGGGGTTATCGCGAATCATATGTGTGAACTATAATGTATATCTAATATATAAAATACATATATGTCATATATAATTTATATGCAATGTATATGTAATTATGTATGTAACTAGACTGACCAACGAAACAATTTCACTAGATGTCAGGCATTTTACTAGATTACTAGATTACTAGATTACTAGATTAATTGACGTTCATACTTTTAGGGGAAATTGAAAATGTAAATACATAGAAAATACGTAAAGGATTTAGAAATAGATATTTAGCACTGAATAAATATTAATTAAATCTTAATAAAACGTTTGTAGTCTAGTAATTATTAATTTAGTTGTTTCCACTAATTCTTGAAATTGAAATATTGAATAATGATGAATCGTCTGATCGTGATAAATGTTTAAGATACGAAATGCTTTTCGAACGATAAATTCGAATCGGTATAAGGTACGATCATTACAAGTGCCTCAAGTCGTTTTATTACAACGCGGTGTAATTACCGGTTAAACGATTCCATTCTGAATAGACAGCGGGGTCGTTTATCGAAAATGCAAAACATAGTCATAAATTATACAGAATATCCATGTGACGTGGGCAAGGAGTTAAAACGTCTAGCCGTATACGTAACGCACTGCATGGGAATTGTGAGAAAATGACGTTCCTCGCACATTTTTCTTTTACGTACTACAATGTGCTGGCGTTTCGTGTCTATAATTTAACAAATTTTTCAACATATGTAAACAAGCATACGCACATAAGAAAGATTAATTTTCGTATATTCGTTTATAGGATATGTTATTAACACTCGCATCGACATCATCAAAATAGTTACATGAGCAGCTGAACGTTAGAGATTTTTATAATTTTGAACGTTACTTTTTTACGCTATTCCCATAGTAATTTTCTAGTTGAAGAAAACGTATGATTATTGCAACTTTTCGTCGGATATTTTCAATTTCGATTGAAAAGTAACATTCATGAATTTTCATTATTTCATTTCCTTTATGTAACTTCTACAGGTATTATCGACACCACAGTTTCAAAGATATATTATCTGATGAGAATTTTCGAATTATTGGCTGAATTTTATATTCCCAAAAATTGTATCTTGCTATTTGCGTACAATTAATCGAATGTTATAGATTGTTACACATGTATCAAACATTCACATTTTAGAAGCATTACTGGACATTATGCAAAAGTACAGACAACGCATGTAATATGCAAATACACTTATGTAAAATAAAAAGTATAATATTCGTATAATATACCTAATATTTTACCTGTAACCAGACATCGTGCGAATGTTAAATAAATACTTTTCTATATTGCTCATTTTTAATTTTCATTTCGTTTCAAATTAAAATGGTGATCTCGAGCAAAACAGTGTCCCGAATAAAACATTCGTAGATACGTAAAATTCCGTTCTGTATATGAACGTGGGCCGTTCGTTTCGATGTGAGAGGAGCGTAAACGTCGCACACAAAACAATTTATGGTTGCAGTAAAATCGTATGAACTCCATTAGACGTGTGACATGCAAATGAATCTTGGCGCGCGGTGCTGTACAATTTGTTTCGTTCGCAATGCATGGCCGAGAAAATAGAAAATTTCACGAAGTTTCGTCATCGCACGTTCGCAACGTACATAAATTACAACAAATTTAAATTAAATATCTACACAAACAAGCGTGCTCTCATTGGCCAGAAAGGTTAAACACTACTTCACGGATAATCGTATTAATCGTATTAATCACGATTTTACCGTGTACTCTATTCATACTTTGTTGACTATCGATAATCTCAAATGACGAACAACAGGAAACTGATGTAACGATTGATTGTACAGACTTGCAGCATTCCGTCGGACACTGGTCGGCCAACACCGCGCGCGCGGAATCTATTTTATCGATCGGATTGATTTGAAAGCAAATTCAAATCTCGAACATTGCGTTTTCAATTCGAACACCGTAGCAACCGGTCTTACTGAAGAAAAACTTACCTCGCAAACGCAGGCGACCTGTTCTTGGGTAAATCCGAAACTGGGCAATTGCCCGTTGCTGCCGCTACCGCCGCCGGCAGAACTCGCAGGACTATCTTGGGGGCTGTAACTTGTTGGTCCTGTAGCAGGGCCATAGGTAGTCGCTTCGACGGGACCAGCAGCAGCGTGTCCCGTGAGTGGCGTCGGTGTCCCCTGCGGGCTGTAATCACCGGTCGAGCCCAAAACGTCCGTACCACCAGAAGAAGGTCCCATCGCACCTCCGTTTCCGGTGGTTCCTCCGTAGGCCATCATCGCATCATCTCCGGGGCCCACGGCGACCCCTTGCACTCCGTTCCCTCCACCCTCCACCGTGGACCACTTTTCTTCGGTACACTTCGTTTCACTCACTATTTTAATCGATCTCTTTCTTTATTCCCCTTACCAGGCAATGTGAATCAAACAATTAGTCGATTGATTAATTATCAATGGTAAATCCGCGGCGCATCGATCGTTCAGCCGACGGACAAGATTTAATTCTTTCGAGAATCGTTCCGACGGCAGATATTCAGCTACGTACGAGCCACCGGCGGTGATTAACTTGTCCACGATCTTCATACCTTTCGATGGTCATCCACGGTGCTTCTTCTTTAGATCTAATTTCCTTCGAGGCATTCCTTCTCCTTCCAGTTTATCTTTATCGTCGTTCTTCTAACTAATCGTCTGTACTAGATAGTAACTAATCTATTATCACTGAAACTTTTCTCTTACTTCTGACAATTCTAACCTAGAACTGACATATAAGCCAATGTACATGTACTTCTTTAACGAGGGCAAAACGAAGTATAGGTTTAATGCACGAACACGTTTTCCGGTTGTATCGGTTAGCCAAAAAAAAAAAAAAAAAAAAAAAAAAAACAAAAAAAAAGGAAAAACGATCACTACAGGAGTTTGTCTTTTCCAACGGGCCGATGCGCCTGTTTAAAATGGTCGAGTCTTTTTAGTCTCGATCGGGAGGAAAGTACGTAGGATAATACAAAGGAAGAACGCGCCACACTTGTGACGGTATAAACGTGTCAGAATATGCAGGAAGGGGATATTTTTAGGCTACCGCGGCTTGGTAGAGTTGCTGCAAGCTCGAGAAGCTGCCGTCGAATTCCAACATGGGATGTTTCTCGTGTTACGAGAGTAGAAAGAAAGGATATATACTGGTCGGATATACTACGGTGGAATAATAAAATCTCACTCCGGCTACGGTTATTCTCTAATCTGCTTTCAGAGGCTGGGTGTACTGGAACCAAGCAGAGAGCCTTGGCCGGACCGATTGCCTTCGCTGTTTCTGTCTTCTTTTGTGTTTCGTGTACGCGTATATTCCCAGCGTGTGTTTCTCTATAGTTGTCTCCTATCTCAACAGTTTCCCTCCGTCTCGCGTGTACCGCGCGCGCGATTATCTTGCGTTACTGGCTTCGACTAGATCCGATTATGGCAAGTTTCTCTTTAGAGCGCCAGGTGCGCCCTCCTTCAAGATTATTCTCCCTCTTTTCCCTTCGGACTCGCGTCTTTTCTATCTCCTCGTGTGGCAGGTTGCACCGTGAAATCCACGGGCTCGTGTTTCCGCGGCCCGTGGTAGCTGCGTATTTATAGGCGCTTAGTATACTCGCGTACGAACGGCTATTATTAGGACTCTGTTAAATAGTCCGTTTTCTCTGTCCTCCTCTACGGTGTCTCTTTTTCGATCTTTCTTTTCGTTCTTTTCCTCCTTTCTTTTTTTTCCGTTTTCGTTTTCTTTCTTTCTTTCTTTGTTTTTTTTTTT